GGTCTCCGGCCGCACTCCGTGCTCACCCGGCCTGTGACCGAGCGTTTCTGTCTCTGGCATCCGATCCCGTGTGGAGTCTCCAAACCCAGCAGATCCCTGCAGTCTGCTACTGCACCGCTCCTCGGGGGGGGGGGGGAGGGGAGTCTCCCCGCCTCTGCCGCTTGTTGGGTCCCTGCTGGAGGAGCAGTGGCCCGACTGGGCCGCAGATCACAGTTTATGGCCACCCCGAGCTGAGAGCCCGCGCCTCGGCTCCGTCTCTGCAGCCGGCTTCCCCGCTCCGATACCTGGGAGCTCTGGCGCACTCAGGCACCCCCGGTCTTTCTGTGACCCCGAGGGTCCTGAGACCACACTGTCCCGCGAGGGTTCCACCCCCCGCTTAGCCACTGCAGCGACGTCCCTCAGCGGAGCCGACTTAAAAGTTCCAATTTTGTGCTCCGCGGCTCTAGCACTTGCCAGAAGCAGCCGACGGAGGCCCCCTCCCCCGCCGTCTATCCTCCCGAATATCGCCTCGGATTCACTTCTCCGCACGTCCTACCTTCCAGTAAGTGGTCGCTTCTCTGTTCAGAGAGCTGTTGCTATTCTTTTCTTCGATCTCCTGTTGAGTTCGTAGGTGTTCAGAATGGTTTGATCCCTATCCAGCTGAATTCCTGAGACCTGACGAAATCCAGGTCTCCTACTCCTTCACCATCTTGCTCCGCCCCCCCCAGCCTATCTTTTTTAACCAGGCTCAGTCCTGGGGTGCCTGGGTGGCTCAGCTGGTAAAGTGTCCGCCTTCGGCTCAGGTCATGATCCCAGGACCCTGGGATCAAGCCCCGCATCAGGCTCCCTGCCCGGCCAGGAGCCTGCTTTTCCCTCTCCCTCTCCCTCTGCCCTGCCCCACACCCACCCCCACCCCCCACCCCCGCTTGTGATATCTCTCTCTCTCTCTGTCAAATAAATAAAATATATATTAAAAAAAAAAAACAGGCCTACTCCATTCTTAACTAAAACTATGGGTGATGCCATAGGGCAAATAAGGTATGCTTTGTTTCCCTGTTAAAAGTGGATCTTTTGGATATCCCATTTTACCTAGCACAGGATTAGGTCCATTAATCCTGGATGACTGGATAATGATCTACTCATTAATTCAGTCTCCAATAATGTTCGTCCTATTCAAAACTGAAGGGAGGTGGACTAGCATGCAGTATTATTTAGAAAGCACAGTAGATGATACAAATTGATAATATTTTGACAAAATATCTAAAATACTTGAGAAAAAATCTTTAAATACAAATAATCAGTGTTCTAATTATAAACCCATGTGTGACTTATTATGAAACATTATTATGCTTTGTATGTCTAGATTTCCCAGGACAGTTCTGACTGTGAATATTCTGTTCCACTGTCTGATCACGTACCAAAGCCCATGTTCTCATTTTTGGTTCAGGACATGTGATTACTATCTCTACACAGAGTTCTAGTAGGAGGCCTTTTGTTAACTACTTAACTTCTTTCACTTTTAAGTCTATCATTCAGACCTTTTATGGTTTCAGCTGGATCTTTCCTCCACTGATCAGAACAGTGGGGTTCTAACTATAGTGATAATCATCATTATAATTGAAATAGTAGCCAACTTTATTGACAGTGAGACACTCTGCGGTAACTCTGCTAGGCAGGTATCATATTTAGCCCCAGTTTACAGAGGAAGAAACTAAGGTACAAAGAGCTAAAGTAACTTGCCCAAGGGGAGAGACCTTGTGTGTGTTGTTCCTGAAACAAGTTATGGCATGTTTGTCAAACAGTCTTGAAGAAGTGGGGTCGTGAGTCTGGGAGGTTTCCTTGGTGCTTTCTTTTCTTTCTTTTTTTTTTTAAAGATTTTATTTATTTATTTGACAGAGAGAAACACAGCGAGAGAGGGAACACAAGCAGGGGGAATGGGAGAGGGAGAAGCAGGCTTCCCGTGGAGCAGGGAGCCCGATGTGGGGCTCAATCCCAGGACTCTGGGATCATGACCTGAGCCGAAGGCAGACGCTTAACTGACTGAGCCACCCAGGCGCCCTGGTGCTTTTCTTTTATTAATAACTCTCACAAGCTTTGTGTTTCTACTTTAATAATGATCATGTGATATCTTTTTAATACATCTTTTAAAATGCTTGCTTGACCCAACTCTTAAACAAATGTTTATGCAACAAGGATGATCTAGTCTTACAATCAAAATTAGCTTTTTAAATGGTATTGGAAATCCTATTTCCAAAATCCAACCATTTTATGTTAACACCAACCTTGGAAATATTGGAACTAATCGATGCTTGATATCATTGCTATCTTCCTTATCTACTCCTCCATCTGGTTTGCCAGGAGCATACAGCATAAAATGAAGGGGCAAGTAGGCAAAGTTCACACTTTGAGAATGAGTCAGCCAAACTCTATCTTTAGCAGAGATGAATAAAATGCAATTATGAAACTGCTTTTGACAACATGGAATCTGGTTGCATGGCTAGACTTCTAAATTCTAGAGCAAATCTTCACTGCATTAAATCTTTCAAGGGCCTCTTATTAAGCAGCCCTGTCCCCAAACTGTCAAAATACTAATCCTCCTCCAACTAGGAAATATATGGAAAGCAATGCATTTGATAATCACAGAGATGATGAGGGACACGTAAAATTTCAGTATGGTAGACTGGATCTATTTGAAGAAAGAACAGAGATTTAGAACTTAATCTTTGCTCCTACCCAAGTCTGATGACACATTTCCTACAGTACTTGTCTCTCTTGTAATTAGTATACAAACAGATGGGTGGTTATTGAGAGGGGAGAAGAAAATATCAGGCAAGAAAATAAAAAACTCTTGAGGAAGATTAAGAGAGCAATTCAAATCAATGAACATTTATTAAGTGCGAGTTATGTGGAAAGAGTTTCACTGGGCTTGACAATTCAGAAGAAGAGAATTAACATTTGTTCAGTGCCCTCCTATGTGGCTGGCCCTGTATGAAACACTTTCCGTACTTGAACTCATTTTATTCTTGCCACTATTCCAACAGGTAGCTGTTTAGCCCCCTTTGATGAAAGCACCAAAGGCTCTCAAAAACTAAGTAAATGCGTCAAGCTCCGTAAAGGAAGAAATAGGATTCTAGTTCATATCTGCCTGGTTCCAAAGCCTACATTCATTCATTTTCACACACACATTGCCTTATTTTTACTCAACAATTCTATGAGGTAGAATAATTCTTTTTTTTTCTTTTTGTGGTAAAGAAATCAGAAAAAAACATGATGGTGTGCAAGGACATCATGCGACCAGCGATAGAGCAAGGAATTATGTCCATTTGCCTTTTACTGGGCCCTTACTATGTGCTAGACCGATTACATATTATCTCATGACTCTGAGTAGAAGTGTAATTGCCCACATAGGGCAGAAAAAGAAAGCAGCCCTTTGGTTCCATGATAAATAACCCAGGACAGTTTCACTCCCCCCAGCTGTTGACAGGCATAATTACAGAATGATACGTGAAGTTACAAATACTACAAATACTAGAGCTACAAGAAGGAAATGTAATGCCTTCTAAGGAAGAACCAGGAAATGTGGGTCTGGAAAGTGGGGCTTGTCCTTGAACTGACTCTCTGTACTTTGCAAATGCCTTTAGACAATAGATGGTAAATCAGCTTGCCGCAGTAACTTGGACGAAATAATCGAAAGAAGTACATCTTCATCCTTAGGGCCTACACGCAAACAGTAGGTGTGTTCCGATTTCAATCTGTGAGCCCCAAAGGCTTTCCATGACAATTTGTGCAGAGTACAAATGACCAGATGTGTTTACCAGACTGTGATGCCCATCAGTGAAAAGATGCAAATCTGATCTTTTGAATACTTGACTCCATGGGAATTTTCCAAAGTAATCGATAACACAGCTGGATCAATGTGTATGTCCAGTTATACTAACAGAGAAAAGGTAACCATTTCAAAATGCCTTTAGCAACCCAGTCTGCAGATTGTTATTGGTGTGACTATTGCTGAAACAGGTGTTGGGTTCATAAATTTGCATAACAAAATGTTTTCCTTGTGGCAGCAACCCATACAATAATTGGTGCCATCTGTATTTATCTATTGAAGTTTGGTTTCTGATATGAATGCAAAGAATCTTGTGGTGTCTAATCTCATAGCACCCAATTTATTGAGGGTGGTAGACATTGGAGAGGTGTTCATCATTCCCAGGGAAAATACAGATTGAAGGAAAATGTTGAAGTGATAACGTATGTTGCTATTTCTTCACTGATCATTTTCATTTCTGACTATGTGAAACAGAATCAAGGCCACACACCTATTAGAACTGCTTCTTCAGAGCAGTACGTGGGGAAGATCCAGCCAGAATGGAAAACCAAGGGGCTCTGTCAACCTATTTACAATTCCCTTTTGAAAGGCTCTGCTTGCTTGCTTACTTGCTTGCTGAGAGAGAGAGAGAGAGAGAGAACAGGGCAGGACAGAGAGAGGGGAAGAGAGAGAAATTTCAGCAAATTCCATCCTAAGCATGGAGTCCAACATGGGGTTCGATCTCACGACCCTGAAATCACGACCCGAGCTGAAACCACAATTTGGACACTTAACTGACAGAGCCACCGAGGCACCCCTGAAAGGCTCTGCTTTCACTAAAACCTCTCATTGCTAGAACTTTTCTGTTTTCTTACCTCTTAACCAGTGAGTAGAAATCTGAGTTTGGAGCAAACTTCATATCAGCTGAGAAGCAGAAGCGATCTGAGTTGCAGTTTTATTTTGGACTTGTTTCTAATGAGGGGAAGGAAAAATACAAAATTGTATGAAAGCTTAGTTTTTTAAAATCTGAAAGACAATAATGCAACATTCTAATAAAGAATATCTTAGAACCATGAAGACAGTCCTTTTCAGTGAATATCATAAAATCTATTTGATTGTCTCTAGCAATTCAAGCAAATTGCAGATCTTTAAAATAAATGTTTCAGGTGAACTCTGTATGTATTCCTTCAATATTTTATATTTTTTATACCTACAGGTCCATGAAGACCTTTATCAGTTAAAGGAGAAATTAACAAATTTCTCACTTGAGGAAAAAGGAGAGGCTCTAAACATTCAGAATCTTGAAACTGCAATCAAAAGGACGGAAATGGGGTTGAAAGTAAGTAGAGCTTTAGATATTAAATAAAGTGCTGGAAGGAGACAAAGATTCCTCTAGAAGAAAAGGACTGTGGTTCTCACTGGACCCTGTCTAATTCTGTAACAAAGATGGACTTAGGTTGGTCAGCAGCTTTCTCATTCTGTTCCTTTTATTAAAATCATGATTCTTAACTGATTGGTTGGCATCCTGTCACATTCCACAAAGAATTTAAGGTGTTGGGAATGTAAGATTATGCAGTGACAACCCCTAATGTGTGGTTTGATAAAAAAGAATTAAGAATTTTTTAAATAACCATTTGTCCAACAATATGCCTGACAAAAAAAGGATTCAAAGCAATACACTGCAGAGAGTTTCTATCAGATTCACCGGGGTGCTGAAGGATAAGAGTTTATTTTTCCCTAAATAGCTTAAGTATTTTTAGATTAGTCACTTTTGTGATATTGTGATCCAGTAGGTAGAGCTAAAGAGATGTAGCAATTTTGGGAGAGAGAAATAAAGTACACAGGGACTTCATCATTATAGATGGGTTGAAGGGCAGATAATATTTAGACCAGGATAATATTTATTTATAAAACAAGGATCTAGGGGTGCCTGGGTGCCTCAGTTGGTTAAGTGTCTGACTCTTGATTTCAGCTCGGGTCATGATCTCAGGGTCATGGGATCAAGCCTCATGTCAGGCTCCGTGCTCAGCGGGGAGTCTGCTTGAGATTCTCTCTCTCCCTCTCTCTCTACCCCTCCCCACTGCTCTCTCTTTCTCTCTCAAATACAAGGATCTATTAGCACATGGGTCCAAATAAGGACCATCTCCATCTTCGAGAGCTTGAACTGTCACCGTCCCTGCTCTGGCCTGACTTTCACTCTCCCACGTTGTCAGCTTCGCAGCCCAGCTCCTCAGGCTGTGAGAGATGTGGCGTGTTTTGTTGCCTTGTCAAACTGGCACACCATTGTCCTAGATTACCTGACAGTGAGAGGGCTGCACCCAGCTGGAGTCTTTGGGTTGGCCATTTTAAATAATCTGTTACCTAAGGGCCACATTCTTGCCCTGGATGCTTGAAATCCCTATAAAGGAAAGACATTACTCCATATCCGTCCTGCCTAGTAAGCTTACCTGGCTAAGCGATTTACTGACTATTGTGCATGGTTTAATTTGTGAAGAGTGCTACAGGTCATTTAAGCTCTGAGTCTCAATTGTTTATTATGCTTTTTGGGATAGTTAAAGTCATTTAGCCTCGAGATGCCCAATGATACTTTAGGCATGCAATAAACGCATAGCATGTTGTGTCTTTTGGCTTAATTACACAATTCAAAGCGTTATCCTAATGAAATAAAGTAAATTAGCTGAGTATCTTAAGTCCGCTGTAATGGCCTAAACTTTAGCTTTTCTGTAACAGATTCACATCGAGAAGTATTTAAATGTTGTAAACCATCATGTGTTAACGACTCCTATTGATGACAATAATTTATATTCTCCTCATGCTTCCAAGTGGTAAGTAAAAGAGCCATTTTGGGGTCCAAAATAAGTACAATAAAAAAATAATAACTTTTCCCACTCAGGTCAGATGACCATAAAGATAAAATATTCTTGGCTTTGTTCATATCCATGTTTTGGTATAAGAAGTTAGTGGCAGCATTTGAACTTTAATGAAGTTTATTCCAGGTTACTCTTCTTGCCTTCTAATACTTGACACCATGACAATTACTTCAGGGTCCTAGTTTTGGTGTTAACTATTTTTTTTAGTAAAAGGTATCCAAAATTCAACTCCTAAAGGAAATATTTTAAGTTATGATAGCTGAAAAGAACAAACTATGTAGCAATTACAGCCACAGAGAACCAAGCAGAAAGGTTCAGGCAAAGACCTTTCTTCTACAGTTCTTCTCCCTTGCCAAGGAGTGTCCTTGCCCCTTATTAGGCTCTGGAAGAGTGAAGGAAGACTTCACTATTCACTGGGGCATGGAGCTGGCTACCAGAAGTTGTTCTTGGATCCTTTCTCTCCTATTCAAGACAATATTATGATCACTGGCCTCCCGGCAGGAAGGTAGGAACCTGGCAAATTTGTAGAGCTTTGCAAGCCTGGGGGAGCATCTCCATCATGGCTGTGAATGTATGCTGCTAAAGTAGCACATGCAACTTGAAAATGAAATGATAGGAGCCAGGTCGAAAACTGGAGAAAAGTCCAAACCGGTCCTGCCTAGTAAGCTTACCTGGCTAAGCGACTTTAAAGCAAGCAGGCAGGTCCTGGGAGTCACAGGGAGTAGCTGAGGGAGGAAGCTAAGCAGCAGCAGGAGATGGAAATGGAAAACAGGAGAGCCAGGAGATCAGGGACTGTTGTCTGTGACCAGTGGGTTCCCGGGTTGATAGTCACACCGGACTCTGCACTTGCAGGGGTTCCCAAGAGACTATCATGAATAGACTTGGCCTCAGAGTCTACGTTCTGTTGGGAGTTTTCTATGCAAAGCTGTTTGCAGAACCCAGAATTCCTGCAGGTTCTTATGCCTGGGGGCAGTGTGACTGGCCAATTCATTGCATTTTTCTTCTGAGGTTCCATGACAAAAGTCCTTCTAATACCCAAGTGAGAAGGTGGTTTTCATTATTGATGGCAGGACTCACTAGGGGACAGGTTGCTTATCTCAACACTGCTCAGGAGGCCAGAGGAGGAGACTTAGCTTATCAAAGTCTTGAGTTGGAATAAGCCAGACCTGGCCTTTTATCCCACATGGCTGTTAGTTTAAAAATTGGGGCATGCATCCATAACATGTGTTTATTTATACATTGTATACTTATCCTAGGGAGTGAATACATTATAAAATACACCGACCAAAAAAAAAAAAAAAAAAAACACTTAAATAATGAGACAAAGAAGATTAAAGTTTAAAATATTTTACTTTATTAACAGCACAAAACTTTCTTTTGCTAAAAAAGGTTATTAATTATAATGTTCTGGTTGCTTTATCTTGGTAATCATGATGGCTTTATACTGGCTGTAGCTAATAACCTGAAACACACTCTACGCTTCATGGAGATTCAGCATGGATGCTGGTTGAATGGGAATCCACGGTTCAGTTAGTCTTCTGGATAATTTTTAAGTTGGTGGTACGGGGTGGAGATTTGGTGGACTCTTCATGAGTTTGATTGGTTTATCATCATTTTTGCTCTCTAGCATGGCTGAGGAAAAGCTCATGCTATGAGTAAGTGTCCGTTCTGGCATTTTATTTTTCACTGATGCCCAGTTTCACTGGCTTCAAAATACAGTCTGTTTCTTTGCAGGAATCTTTTTAAGACACCTGTCCATTTTCTCAGGCTTGAGTGAAAATGAATGAATAGAATCCATAAACTCACTCTATGAGTAAACTCCAGAACATTCTAATGCTGTCAAAAAACATCACACAGACCTCACTGTTCGTGCCCTTGTGGTTTGGAGTCTCCACTCCCAGGAGGCCTCCAGAACTGCAGGGGACATGACCACAGGAGGGATCCAGGGACAAGCTGAATATTAAATAGTAGCAAAAAGTAACTTCTTATTTTTATTTCTTCTTTTACATATTTCTTATTTGGTGTAAATAGAAGTTCCTATACTCTCCTCACACAACCAATGGCATTCTCTTATGGATTGCCTGAGATGTGGGCATCCTGTTTGAGAGACCACAGGTCTAGAACAACGGTTCTTAAACTTTGGTTTGCAATCCTCCTTCGCCAGCCCCCCCGATGGTCCTGGATTTGGCATTTTAACAAAGAGTCTTGGTTATTCCTAATGCAGATAATTTGTGCTTAGAATCCCCGTGACAAGCATAAGTCCCTGGAATCCGTATTCTTTGGGCCACACAGAGGGTCTGCCTCTGTATGATCAAGAGCCTGGTCCTGGAAATTCAGCTCCCCCATTGCTATGAAGGGTTGGAGTAAGCCTCTTGCACTAGGAATGAGCCACAAGTGGGCCCTGGCAGTCAGGCCACTGCCACTGTCTGCTTATACCGTGAGTGTGCTGGAGTGTCAGAGGCCAGGAGTCCAGAGAAGCAGCTCTTTCTGAGAGGGGTGCTATATAATAAGGACCGTGGATCCCCGTTGCTCCCTTGACAGCAAGCACAGTTGCTACAGGTGACTGAGAATCAACATTGTTCAGAGATATGGGGCTTCATTCCATCTATGGCAATCCAGGAAATCAGGAGAGTTCATTCCAAATGAATTCCAATACTGTCCCTGGATATACCTTAAAAAATGATTTAGAACAGGCCAGATACAATCATCATCTTTTCATCATTATTGTGAATTTCATCATTGTCACCAACAGCTTCATAACACTTGACAGTTTGCAAAGGACTTTATTTTACCCTATGAGGCAGATATTTAACCTTTCCTTTTAAAGATGTGCATACTGAGGGTCACAGCAGGCCCGGGTCGCACTAGTCGTTGGTGGTGAGGCCCAGACTCAAGTCCGGTCACCTGTGTGCGATCGAGCGCTCTTCCGCACCATGGCCACCTGAAAACCAAGAAGCTTAATTTCCACAAAAGATGGTTTTCTTTTCAGCAAGAAGGGAAAATCTGGTCATTTTGTCCAGTAGAAACAAAAATCAGGAGGGACACAAAGTGATAACAATTGTTGCCAGCAAATGCAAGATTTTCCCCGCCGTCATGCAGAAAACAACGAGGACATTATCAAGAGTGGTCTATTTTCTCCGAAGAGCTCAAAGAGCTTTTGTATTGTTTTCAAAATATGTTCCATTGCTATCCCACTTTGGCAGTGATTCTTCTATGTCAAAATGTCGTTCTTCCTCTCACATGATTGGCTTTCACGGATTTTATTGCTCATAATATGTGCTCACACTGCTCTTAACGACCATGCTTTGTTATTGACACTGGGAGGGTGACTACCATCTGTACCCACACGATCAGAACTGCATGGAAATCTTCATTTTATATTCTGTTGTGCCAGTGTTTGAGAAGGGGGAGCAAGAACAAAGCAAATAGATAACTGAGCATCAGTGAGAGGGAAAGAAGAAGTATTGCATGGTGAGCGTCCATCAGAAGGTACATTCTCCTCAGTTGATGAAGCATCCCGGAGCCCAACCATTGTGGGCTGTTACCCGGCGGTACATGAATCCCACTTGTGTAGACTGTGACTACATCCTAGTCACAGGGAGAGGTGAAGCACAGGGAACAAGATGGTAATGCCTGGTGGTCTGTGTGAAGGGTTTGCGGAGGCTAACTGTTCTTTCCATTTCTCTGTGGGTTTGAAATTTTTTTAAACAATAGATTTTTTAAGAAAGCAGCATAAAATGAAAAACCAACTGGGAAAACATCTGCAACAGATAGGACACAAAAATTGCTAATAGTCTTTTAAAAAAGAGCTCCTGCCAATACAAAAAAAAACAAAAACCCAAAAACAACTTGACATAGAAGGACATCAACAGACTACTCACAGAGATAGAAATGCAGATAAGCAGTAAATATGTGAAAAATGTTTAACCTCACGGGGAAGCCAGAGAATGCAGAGTAAACAATATATTATTATATTTTCTTTACAAATTAGCACAACAGATCATTTAAACCATCCTCATACTCAGGGCTGATGAGGTGGCAGTAGGATGGGAATACTTTGATTCTACCACTGAAGGAATAAGTTGGCCCAAAGTCCTTAAAGGCAATTTTCAACAGGTGTGAGAAGCTTTTTACAATTGTCATTTTTTAATTTAGCTGTTGTACTTCTAGGAACTTCTAGGAAATAAGAGAGACACGTGGATCTCTGTATAAGTTTGTTCACTTCAGTGTTCTATTTTATAGCAATAAATATGGAAATACCTTCAGTGTTAACAATTAAAGCATGATTCCGTCTATAGCACATCTATGTGTGCATTGCATAGCTATTAAAACTGATACTGTCCAAGGGGCACCTGGGTGGCTCAGTCTGTTCAGTGTCTGCCTTTGGTTTGGGTCATGATCCCAGGGTCCTGGGATCAAGCCCTGCCTCAGGCTTCCTGCTCAGTGGGGAGTCTGCTTTTCCCTCTCCCTCTGCTCCTCCTCTACCCTCCTCCCCTGCTTGTTTGCTCTGTCTCTCTAATAAATAAATAAATAAATAAAATCTTTTTAAGAAATTTAAAATTAACACTGTCTGAGAAATTTTAATGACATGGAAAAATCCTCACAGTATATATTGAGGGGGAGAAAGCAGGATGCAAAATTGTATCTCAGTTCAAACATTTTTTTTTTAAGACTATTTATTTATTTGCAAGAGAGAGAGAGAGCACAAGCAGGGGGAGCGGCAGGCAGAGGGAGAAGCAGGCTCCCCACTGAGCAGGAATCTGGATGCAAAATTCGATCCCAGGACTCCAGGATCATGACCCGAGCTGAAGGCAAACACCCAACTGACTGAGCCACCCAGGCATCCCTCAGTTCAAACTTACTTCTAAATACATAATGTGCAGAAGTGAAAGGAAGATGGTGTAGACATACTTGCCCCTATTCCTTCTGATAAATACAGCTGTAAAGCCTGGATGTTATATACAAAACAAACTTAGGAAGACTTGGAAAGAAGGCAGGCCAGTTAGGGGCCCTGGGACCCAAGGAAGGACATAATGGTGAGGGCCCTGGATTTTCTTTTTGCTTTGTGTATCCTGTTATTGGTCTATATTGTTTTCCTTCTCTCTGTAGAGCTTCTTGTGACATTTCTTACAAGAGAGGTCTCTGGTGACAAATTCCCTTAGCGTTTGTTTATCTGAAGAGGTCTTTATTTCCCCTTTGCCTCTGAATCATAAGTCTCACTGGACACAGAATTCCAGGTTGGTGGGTTTTTTCTTTCCGTACTTCAAATAGTTCACTCTTCTCTCTTCTTGATTGTATGGTTTATGAAGAGACGTCTGATACAATTTATATCTCTCTTCTATAGGTAAGTTGGGTTTTTTCTTTGCCTTCTTTTAAGATTTCCTGTTTGTTTTTAGTTTTTCATAGTTTGAATAGGATATGCCTATGTATGTTTTTTAAGGATTTATCCCAGCTTGGTATTCTCTGAGCTCCCTGCATCTGTGGTTTAATATCTGTCATTAATTTTGGAAAATTCTCATCATTACTCAAGTATGTCTTCTGTTCCTTTCTTTTTTCTTTTTCTGATATTCTCATTATGTGTATGTTATACCTTTTATAATTGTCCCACAGTTCCCGGACATTCTTTTTTGTTCATTCCTCTTTCTCTTTGCATTTCAGTTTGGGAGTTTCTATTGATGTTTCTTCAAGCTCATGGATTCTTTCCTTGGCTGTGTCCGGTTGATTAATAAGTCCATCAAAAGCATTCTTCATTTCTTATGGTGTTTTTGATTTCTAGCATTTCCTTTATATTCTTTGAGTTTCAGTGTCTCTACTTACATTACATATCTGTTCTTGCATGATGGGGCTACTTTTTTCCACTAGAGTCCTTAGCTTAATTAATCACAGTGATTTTAAATTCCTGGTCTGCTAATTCCAAAACCTCCTGTCGTATCTGATTCCGATGCTTGCTTTGTCTCTTCAGACTTTCTTCTTGCCTTTTAGCATTCCTTGTCATTTTTTTTTGAAAGCTGGACATGATGTATTGGGTAATAGGAAATGAGGTAAGTAGGCCTTTAGTAGGAGGTAAGTAGGCCTTTATCTGGCTAGGAGTTGGGTTGTGTTTACTGTAGGTGTCTGCGGCTTCAGTTGCCTCAGCTGTCTTTGCCTTTGTGTCCCCTGGCGTCTTTGGGTTTCCCTAGAAACTTCTTCCTAAGTAGGTCTGAGCCTTGAAGTCCTCTCATCTGTGATCCTCTGTTATACTGATGACTGTAGATGTACTGTGCTGGGGGGAAGCATTCAATACTCCTTGATCAGGCTCCCCCATCTTCCCATGGGTCTGTACCCCCAGACTGTTACCTTCACAAGTTTTTCTTGGTTATTCCCCCTCTTAGGTGAGACAGGAAGCCTGGAGGGGGCTGGAGTTAGCTAATTGCCCTTCCTCAGGTCAGATAATTTTCCTTGAGAGCTGGCCTTTAATACAGAGAACAGAACGAAGAACAGAACTCTCTGGGACTAGTTTGAAATGGTTCCTTTTCCCTCCCCACTGCTAGAGGCAGCAAGGGATTTTCTTCAGTCCTCACAACGAGAACATGGTGGGGCTTCTAGAGGTAAAACTCAGGAAAGTGTGCCCCCTCCTGCCCCCCCACCCCCCACCAAGCCTTGGCCCCTCAGAATTTAAACACTCAAGCTAAGGCACACTGAGCCTCTGGCAATTTGTTAAGTGGAGTTTAACTGTTCTTGCCAATACCAGCTCCAACAGTAGACTCCCTCTCTGAAGCTTTATCCAGGTCTGTCTCTCTGTCTCTGTGTCTCTCCAGTTTTCAGGGCAGTCGTTTTCCTGTGACTTCAATTCTCTGATAGATCTAAGAAGAATTGCTTTTCCATTTGCTCAGCTTTTTCTTATCGCCCTCATCCTCACAATACCTTCCAAGGTCTTTACATGTTGAAACAAAACCAGGAGCCCACAAACTGCTTTTTAACGATAATTTCACAGATGTGGGCATCACAGTAGAGTCAAGAGATTGAGTCATTGTGGTTGAGTTTAACTGATCTTAATTATGTTGACCGTCTTAAAGAACGGGGATCTGCTTTCCAATGAAAAGTTTTAAGACATACATTACACACACACAGCTCTTACAATTTTATTTTGTTTTTATGCTGCTCTCCCATGGAGCTGCCCACTGCTTTATAAGGAAGACCTTTAACCGGCCTTTGATCCTTAGTCTTTGCAGCTCTGTAAAGTAGAAGTTTAAAGAACATAAGTGCTAACTGCTTAGAGACCAGCATTTTGAATTTATTTAACATTGGCTATTCTGTGATTTGGCTTTACAAATAAAGTATGCTGTATTTTTCTCTACTGAGAAATGTTTACAGTGTAGTAATTCTATCAGTTGTGGGTCATATAAACTCAGCCAAAGATAAAGCTTTTTATTCATGCTATAGTGGTCATTATCAGACTCAGAAGATCTTATGCTTAATAAAACAAGGGCGAATTAATAGTGGTAAAAATGCTAAAGTTGGTTTATTGTAATTACCAATGGAATAGTTTCTGTAAAATCTAACTGAACTAGGAAGCATTGTTTTAAAATTACAATTTGTGAAGATAAATTCAATTTTAAATTTTTTCTTTCTTTTTTTAAACTTAGGTTGCTTCCAGCTGTAATTGATCAGAAATCATTTATTTTCCCTCTAGAATCTGAGGGTAGACTTTGGCAAACCCAAAGACAACACAGTACATTTCCACATGCCTTTCCGAGAATAAAGGTAGGAAGAGAGACATCCATAAAGACAGAAAGGGGATGAGTGGTTGGGGAGGCTGGGGGGAGGGGAGACTGGGAAGGGACCTCTGATGCATATCAGGTGTCTTTTCGGGATGGTGAAATGTTCTGGAATTCGATAGTGGCAATGGTTGCACAATTCTGTGGCTCTGAATACCTTTGAACTGTACACTTTAAAAGGGTAAATTTAAGGTATATGAATTATGTCTCAATAAAGCTGTTAGAAAAAAAACTTTTTTAGAGTAAAGGCAGGAAATTTAGTTTGTGTTCTAAATGAGGGAACATGCCACTGTTGTTTCAGATATGTTCATGGCACGGTCAGTTTCTACCACACAAGAGCTTTCTTCAGAAAGCAAAATATACCAAACCACAGTGCCTTCACATTTTTAAATGAGCAATAATCACACCTCACAGATAAACCAATGACTGCAATGCTACCACATGCACAGCTAGAATTTTTGAACAGAGCCCTACAAGGAAGGTTTCCAGGTGGCAAGGGCTAGAGTTCATGGGTTACTGATTTTGCCTGTTGGGTGCTCTTGCAATTGGATTCCTGTTCCCGATTCCTCAAAAGTGGGAACAGCTCACCTCCTGTCAGGGCTTGAGGAACACTAACTTGATTCACCTTCAGAATGATCCTAGAGTGACGTGCTCTTGTTGTCTTCATTTCACTGATGAAGAAGCCAAGATTCAGAAATGTTAAAGAAATTGCCCGAGAGGACACAGCTAGTAAGTGTCAAAGGCAAGATTATGTACCCAGAAATACAGGGATAACCACTGTGGTAGCCCTTTTTAGATAATAGCTTTGTTGAGGTATAATTAATATACCATAAAATTCACCCTTTCTAAGTGGACATTCAGTGGCTTTTTGTATATTCACTGATTTATGCAGCCATCATACTGTGCCTTTATTATAACGGTGTTATCCGTATTTTTCCTCTATCACACTTGACAAAATCTGTAACTAGATTTTTTTTAAATGTCTGTTTTCCCAGTAGAATATAAATTGAATGAGGGCGGGAGCCATGTCAGTCTGTTCACTGCTGTATATCCCCAGGGGCCTCTCGATAAATGTTTGTTAAATGAAGATACGAGACCAGAGGGCCCACCCCCATGTCCAGTCAGTCCTGGCTCCACGACCTTCCCCAAGCAGCCCGCTCCTACCTTCTATACTGCCTTTCCAACACTGAGTCTGTTCGGCCACCATCTGTGGAGTATTTACTATGTGCCAAGCACTGTCAGAGGCACATGGGGACAAATGATGCCAGGTCCCTACTCTCAGAGCTCACGTTCTCTTACGCCATGAGAAAGGGAGCTTAAATGTCTCACCACCCTTCCTATTAAGTCTCTGCATCTGTGAAATTTTTTTTTCCTCCAGAATCTCAGGAGGGTCACTGTTGGTCCACAAGTGGAAGATTAGAGCTCTCTGGTTTGTGGGGACAATGAAACAAAATATCTGAAATTAGGACTATTTAGAATGTATAGCTGCTATTATTATTTCAGAAAAAAATAAAACTATGGCCCAGAAATTTATTTTCCTGAAAGAATTTTGAATCCTGGCAAACGATCACAACAATAAGAAATCTTCTGTGCTGAATAAAACCCCAGAGTTATTTTAAATACTCTGAGCATGGGTGAGCTCCATTTAAAAGGGGCACGGGCTGTTTCCTACCCTGGCTTTACCTGCAGGGCCTAGATCCCTATTGTTGTTTTATTTCTAATATCAGTGACATCTGCTTAAAAATGCATAACCGCTGACACACACGATAGCCCTAATTTTGCATTGTAAACTCACTGACAGACAGTGCTGTTTTGGCAGCTGTCCCTGCAAGCCTGCTAGGCCAACTTAAGAGCTTGTATTATTAAGTAGCAGTGAAATCCAGCTGGGATATCACCACCTTTAATTGCCCACTGCCAACCTGTTCAGCTAGGTAAACCCCAGTTGCTTCTTTCAGCTCTCTTTCTCCAAAGTAGATAACTATTTTTGGAATTCCATTTCACACCAAAAACTTACATGACAAACCATTAGGAGTTGCTCAGTTATAATTAAAAGTCATAATTAAGAATTCTTTGGACAGCTACATGTGCATGAATGAAACTGGACCATTTTCTCACACCATACACAAAAATAAACTCAAAATGGATTAGTGACCTAAATGTGAGACCTGAAACCATATAACTCCTAGAAGAAACCAGGTAGTAATCTCTTTGACATCAGCCTTAGCAACATTTTCCTAGATATGTCTCCTCAGGCAAGGGAAACGGAAGCAAAAATAAGCTATTTGGATTACACCAGAATAAAAAGCTTTTGCACAGCCAAAGAAACCATCAACAAAACACCAAGGCAACCTACTGAATGGGAAAAGATATTTGCAAATGGTAAGGGGTTAATATCCAAGATGTAAAAAGAACTTATACAATTAAACACTAAAAAAATGGGCATTCCATAAAAATATTAAAAAATGGGCAGAGCGCCTGGTTAGACATTTTCCCAGAGAAGACATACAGCTGACCAACAGACACACACAAAAATGATCAACATCACTCATCATCAGGGAAATGCAAATCAAAGCCACAATAAGATATCACCTCACATCTATCGGAATGGCTAGAATCACAAAGGGAAGAAAAAAGTGTTAGCGGGAATGTGGAAGAAAGAGAGCCCTCATGCAATGTTTTGTGAGAATGTAAATTGGTACAACCACTGTGGTTGTAATTGGTACAACCAAACTGTATGGAGGTTCCTCAAAAAATTAAAAATAGAAATACCATATGATCTAGTAATTCCACTATTGGGTATTTACCTAAAGAAAATGACAACACTCATTCAAAAAGATACATGCATCCCTATGTTTATTGCAGCATTATTTACAATAGCCAAGATATGGAAGCAGCCCACGTGTCCATCAATGAATGGATAAAGAATGGATACACACACACACACACACACACACACACACACACAGCGGGATATTACTCATCCCTAAACAAGAATGAGATCTTGCCATTTGTGACAGCATGGATGGGCCTCGAGGGTGTTATGCCAAGTGAAATAAGTCAGACAGAGAAAGGCAGATACTATATGATTTCATTTACATGTAGAATCAAAAAACCAAACAAATGAACAAATACCAGACTCTTCTTTTTTTAAATGAAATTTTTTTTTAAAGATTTTATTTATTTAATTGAGAGAGAGAGAGAGAGACAGAAAGAGAGGGAACACAAGCAGGGGGAGTGGGAGAGGGAGAAGCAGGCTTCCCGCTGAGCCGGGAGCCCAATGCGGGGCTCGATCCCAGGACCCTGGGATCATGACCTGAGCCAAAGGCAGTCGCTTAACCAACTGAGCCACCCAGGCGCCCCAAATACCAGACTCTTAAACCTCCCCTGTGGCAACCACCAGTTTATTCTCTGTATTGACTCTTAATAAACTGGTGGTTGCCACAGGGGAGGTGGACGGGGGTTGGGTGAAACAGAGGAGATTAAGTGATACAAACTTGCAGTTATAAAAGGTAAACGCATCGGGTTGCCTGGGTTTGTTAAGCATTTGCATTTAGCTCAGGTCATGGGATTGAGACCTGCATTGGGCGGGCTCCCTGCTCAGCAGTGAGTCGGCTCATCCATTTCCCTCCCTGCTCCCTGCTTGTGCTTTCTCTCTCTCTCAAATAAATAAATAAAATCTTTAAAAAAAAAAAAAGTAAGTCACAGAGATGAAAAGTACAGCATAGGGAATATAGTCAGTAACACTGTAAAAAAAAGAATTGTTTATTAATTTTCTTTTACATTTGAAAAAGCCATATTGTGATGACTTTTCTTCACAGTGTATACATTTGTTCTATCTCAGCACCAGCTCAATCCCTCTTTGGGGCTCCTTGGACTATAGGCACACCTGTACTCGTAACAGATAAGGGAAGGATTTGAAATAAAAACAACAAAGGAGGAAGTAGGGGGAAGAAGAGAAGGAGAAAAAGTTTATAGGTTTATAGGCCAAGAGAGTATTTGATTTTCTTGTTGTATCTGGCAAGCCAATTCCTACACTGTTTAGACCAAAGGACCTACTTACAAACATGATGCAATTGGTATGTTTGTGGAGCAAGGAAGATAAACCCAACCCATTGCTTGAGAACTATTTCCTATACTACTTCCATAAAATGGATTCCTTAGCAGTCAAACAAACAAACAAAAAATACTGTGATCTAATACAATGTGGCAATGTGCAAATCTGTGTCTAAGATGGGAAGGCTCTGATTTTATGAATTTGGATCAAATCGAGAAAACGATTTTCAAACTTGGATCAAAATGAAAGTTTTGAGGACTTTGGACATTATGAAGAATAATATGGTGAGAGACAAAAGCAGGAAAAAGAGCAGGAAAGGGTTGTTTCCCAGACTGTTGCTGTGAGTCCTGCCTCACTTAGTGGTGGGTGGCAGGTTTTGCCCATGAGGTGGTAGTTAGCCTGCCACAGAGCAGAGCAGGCAGAAGAGAGCGCCTCCATGAGCCGACCCCGCCGTGAGCTCTGTCTTCTCCCAAGAGCAGCAGGTTAAAAAAATACCGCTCCTTCTCCATGGCTTTTTATTGAAGTGTTTTAAAATACAGACCTAATGACATCTCACCCCTCAGTGCTTTAACATGCATCTTTTAAAACGAGCATAGTCCAATGTGCCCATAACATTATCACACCAAAAAAGGAACAATAACTTGTGAATATAATAAATACTCAGGTCATACTCAAATTTCCCCAACTGATCCTCAAATGGCTTTTACCAATCCTTTATCCAAACCTGAATCTGCTAAGATCTATTCATTGCATTTGATTATTTTTTCTTAAAGCTCTAATAATCCAAAGCAGAGAGACTCTGTTCATTTCAATGCTGTCATTGGTGCCCAGCCCAAAGTAGGCTCTCAAGAGAGGACAACATCATGGTTACAAGTATGGGTTCACATCCTGGCCCCACCACGTCCTACCTGTTCCTTAACCTCTCTGTCTGT